TATTATATTAGATTATATTATATTATATTATATTATATATTATATTATATTATATTATATTATTTATATTATATTATATATATTATTTAATATTATATTATATTATATTATATTTATTATATTATATTATATTATTATATTCTATTATATTATAGTAATATTATATATATTATATTATATTATATTATATTATATTATATTATACTTATATTTATTATATTATATTATATTCATATTATATTATATTATATTATATTATATTATATATATTATATTATATATATTATATTATATTATATTATATTATATTATATTATAATTATATTATATTAGATTATATATTATATTATATTATATTATATTATATAATTATATTATATATATATATTATATTATATATTATTATATTTTATATATTATATTATATATATTTATATTATATTATATTATATATTGATGAGGTCGACTCCTAACCTCATCACAAAGCGATGTAACTACGAAAGAAAAAGAAACGCCGCAAGTGATCTTTCTCGTTCCGTGGCTGGAAGGGAACTCAATTTATTTACAACATATTCTTAACACTAAGCTTACATCTAATACATTAACACATGCATTTTATTTACTAATGCACGCTGTGCATTAACGCACACAATACGTTGCGGGAGAAAACGAAACGTACCTAATTTGTGATCCACTCTTTCTTATCTTCTATTTATGGCCGTGACATTTATTAATTATTTATTACCGACCATAAACCTAGCATATGGAAAACACATGCATCTTAAGTGTTTTCTTACTTAACTAATTTACATAATGAGGAATAGAATTTAAAGAAGAACATTCAACACACAACTATTGTTACAACATGTACAGTTTCTACAAAACTAAACATATATATATTATATTATATTATAATTATATTATATTATATTATATTATTATATTATATGTATATTATATTATATTATATTATATTATATTATATTATATTATATTAATTTATATTATATTATATTATATATATATTATATATTTATATTTATATATATATTATATTATATTATATTATATTATATTATATTATATTATATTAATATTATATTATATTATATTATAGTATATTATATTATATTATATTATATTATATATATTATATTATATTATATATATTATATTATATTATATTATATTATATTATATTATATTATATTATATTATATTATATTATATTATATTATATTATATTATATTATATTATATTATATTATATTATATTATATTATATTATATTATATTATATTATATTATATTATATTATATATATTATATTATATTATATTATATTATATATATTATATTATATTATATTATATTCTATTATATTATATATTATTATATTATATATATTATATTATATTATATTATATTATATTATATTATATTATATTATAATTATATTATATTATATTATATTATATTATATTATATTATATTAGATATCTTTTATTAGAGATAATTTTTTATGCTTCAGAACTAAGTGACTAAAGTGCAAATAGACATCCTCCACAAAAATTAAATTCTCTTTAATTTTCTTTTTGAATTATATGAATTATGAACTGTTCTCGGTAAACAAGATAGTAAAAACACATAAATGTCAATTTATCATTTTTTAATCTTTGTCCGAAGAAGATGAAATCTAACAAAATCAAGCATCAGTCGGATGCTTCTTCAATTAATTGAAATAATCGATTATTGCAAATAAGAATCAGAGACATTCAGAAATAAAAAAGATTGATATCTGACGACGAATGACCTAGAACTGCAAACCAAGGTACTTGCGCCATTCGCGACCACGTTCGGCAATGTAATAAACGCATGGAAAGATATAAAATCAGTCTACCCAAAGCTGTTCTTGCACAAAATAGGTCTGTTTGATAACAGTAGAATCTTGCCGATAATATTCGTTAATTGTTCCCAGTAAATCGCGATTAATTATTTGTCGTTAATCATTTGATTCACTAATCGATTATTCTTTTTATTTATCATCGTTTCATTTGTGATAATTGAACTAGTTTACATGGAACACGGAATCAATAAAATTGGTTAAATTTTTATAAAGGTGCCAACTCTGCTAAAGTGTAACGTAATGCTCTGTTAAAAAAACATATGTTAATACTACTAAGATAAAGTAAAATGTTTCATATTAATATATTTTATATCATTTAATTATATATAATATCTCTGGTCACTAATAAGACGTCAAAATAGTGTCATCAGTGTAGAATTTCGTAACCTTTCGGTCGGTTCAATGCGACCGATTGTTTCAACGATATAAAGAATTCGGCTCGATAGGATTAAACTTTCTTATCTTGTCAGAAGTAAATGTTCTGCCAGGTATACAAACCATTAACGTAAATAAAAAGAAGAATATATAAACCGGGAGGGATTTAGTTTTCTTTTTCGATCGGTCCCAACGCCACTCTCACCCGCCCCTGCCGAC